AGCACTTTATTTTCTTCCACTATTTGATCTGAGGAAGTGGGTCTGGCCCACGAAAGCTCATCATCTAATAAACCATCTTGTTAGTCTTCAAAGTGCTACATTGTCCTGCATTTTGCTAATAAATCCTAGCATCCTATTTGCCTTTTTGACCGCCGCTGCACACCGTGTGGAAGTTTTCAGAGAACTGTCCACGATAACTCCAAGATCTCTTTCCTGATTTGTCGTAGCCAAATTAGCCCCCATCATACTGTACGTATAGTTGGGGTTATTTTTCCCGATGTGCATTACTTTACACTTATCCACATTAAATTTCATTTGCCATTTTGTTGCCCAATCACTCAGTTTGGTGAGATCTTCTTGGAGTCCCTCACAGTCTGCTTCTGTCTTGACTATCCTAAACAGTTTGGTATCATCTGCAAACTTTACTACCTCACTGCTTACCCCTTTCTCCAGATCATTTATGAATAAGTTGAAAAGGATTGGTCCCAGGACTGACCCTTGGGGTACACCACTAGTTACCCCTCTCCAATCTGAAAATTTACCATTTATTCCTACCCTTTGTTTTCTGTCTTTTAACCAGTTCTCAATCCAAGAAAGGACCTTCCCAGTTAACCAGTTAAACGGGGGCAGGCGGGCTAGAGCAGCACTCCCGCCAGGGACAGGGGCTGCTTTGCCCAGGCTGAAGTACCCCACATTTATGGTGAGCCCCACGGGGCTGGAGGAGCCCCAAGCCCACAGCAGGCAGGGAACTACTTCAGCTCCCACCGATTAACCATAATATTAAGGGTGAAATTTACCAGTTAATTGGTTTACCATTCACAAACCCAAAATGGTATGGAGTATGATGAAGGGCCAGGATCCTAAACAGAATCCAAACACTTTCTTTTGCCTGAAGTTTTGCAAGGAAGTGGGGACTGGCTTCTCTACAACGCACTGCTTTAGAACTCCACTGTACACAGAGGTTATTAAAGTAGGAGTAGCTAGATGTTTTGGGCTTCACACTCTATTGGGAACCCAGCACTCAGTTTTGCATTACAGATAATAATAAAAAAATCCATCTCTAACATCTGGTACAGCAAGTCTTTGGCTCCAGAAGTGGGACAGAATATTTGAAAGATAATCAAAGCTAGAGTGAGCATGGCACAAAACAAGTCTGAGCAAACTCTCCAAAACTACTACTGCTCCTTTATTTTAACTGTCTTTATCTATCTATTAGAGATTTGTGCATCTGTCTGTCTGTCTGTTTGCAAGTCCATTTGTTCAAAAGAACTCTCCTAAATGGCAAGGGCTAGGACCACCAAATTTGGTATGCAGCTTCCTCTTATCCTAGTTTAAAGCAGAGTCAGGGTTTGGTTGGTCCAAGAAAATGACACATACCTGGAATCCAGCTGGTTTCTATAACATGGAAAGCGAGAGGGCTGAGCAGAGGGATGCTCTACTCATAGCCACCACAGAGAACAGTGAGCACAGGGGACAGCTATCCATTAGGGGCAGCCACACCACCAAGGGAGTGGCCAGCTGGGGGCAGAGCTCACTATTTTGTCTGCCACTGGCCCAGGTAAATGACCCTCTTGCCCCAAGTCCCTACCCTCACCCCAGCACACCTGACCAGGAGGGGAGGAAAGCCCCACCCGCTCCACTGCTGCACCCCCCTCCTCCTCAAGAGTATCGCTGGGGTCAGGTAACAAAGCCCCCGCCACTTGCCTCAGAAGCCTCAGCCTGCTCCCCTCATCCCTGCCCTGCTGGGCCTCCCAGCCCAGCCACAGCCGACCAGCCTTCGCAGCCCCCTTTGCATCCCTTCCTGGCCTGGAGAGCACCAGTGGGTGGCCTTAGTGCCCCTCCCCAGCACTTGCCTCCAGGCCATGCCTGGGCAACACTAAGTCTTCTAAATATTTTAAATGGGGATAGTCTTGGTTTTTTTGTCCCTGTCAGGTTACAAGCTCTTCAGAGCAAAGAGATCTATCTGCATATTCTGTGAAGCACTGTACACTACTAACTGAAGTTCCTTCAGAGAAAGTATTATCGATTCCCCCTTTTTCAAGCTATCCAATTCCAGCAAGATGTCAAACCTTCCAACATTATCACTGGTCTCACAGTATTGGAGGTTACTCTTAAAACCTCAGTACCCAGAGGTAGCATGGAAGTCTCAGCCGTTACAGTAAATGTTCCTACCTAGCCCCCATAGTTGCAGAGACAGCTTGAAGACTGGAAGTGTATGCACCCTAAGGGCTCAGAAACCAGCAGACAACATTTAAAAAACTGATTATTTTTATGGCAAACTCATGGGTGAGGGGCAGGTAAACACATTGACGGCTTGAGGATGATAATACTGGGTGCAGATGAATTCAGGGCAGGGAGGGACAAGCAGAGAAAAGAGTGAAGGAGTGTAAAGGGCAGCTAGTGTGGGAGGCAGACAGAGGCAAAGGGCTGGCAGGGAACTCAGAGGGAAGGAGAGGCAGGGGGCACAGAGCCAGGGCAAGCAGATGAGGGAGTGCAAGGGCAGAGAGAGAGGGGCAAAGGGCACAGAGGGAGAGGGAAGTAAGACTAGGTGGGGGGGTGGAGAGTGAGTACAAGGGTTACAGACAGCGGTAGGTAAGGCCAGACAGGGGTTTAACGGGCAGGCCAGGGGCTGCAAAGAGCACAGAGAGAACAAGAGTAGGCCAGGCAGGGTCATCTGGGGGCAAGAGGCAGGAGCAGGCAGGGGTGCAAAAGCCAACGAGGCAAAAGCCTGAAGGCGAGGGAGTGGCCAGCATTGTGAAGTCTCCTGTCTCAGCCCAGCTCCCCGCCAAGCTCTCACCTTATTCACATAGTCGGGCACCTCCTGGAGGCTGGGGAAGGAGCTTTCATTGGGCTGCAGCGCATAGAACATCAAGCGGACCTGCTGGGACGCAGTGAGGCTTCCCCCCGGAGCCGCGGGAGCGTCCATGGCCCCGACTGCGCAGAGCCCCAGCGCGGCCGCCTCCCTAGCGATGCGGAGGGAGGGGAGAACTCTGGCCCAGGGGGAAAGTCCGTGCGCGGGGAGGAGGCCGAGGCCGAGGCCAGCCCGCTAAGCAGGTGAACCCGCAGCCCGCTCCCTTCCCCCTCCGCCCCCGC